GTAATCAACCAAGAACCTTATATGCATACTAGAGGCCTGGTGCATGAAATTCGTGCATGGGTAGGGTCCCTAAGCCTGGCCGGTGATCAGGGCCAATTGGGGCCTTCTGGCTGCCAGCCTGGGCCTTCCTTCATTCCATGCCACCCCCTGCTGGTCAGCACATGTCATAGCCAGTGATCGAACTCCTGGTCTCCTGGTTGAACTCCTGAGGGGACACTTTGCATATTAGCCTTATATATATATAAACTAGAGGCCCATTGCAGGAAGATTCCTGCAAGAATAGGGCTTCCTGTGGCTGGAGCAAAGCAGAGAAGGGAGTGAAACCCGCTGAGGCGGGCTTCACTCCCGCCCCCAGCCGCTGCGGCTGAGTTTGCCCAATCTGCCCCCAGCCGCTGTGGCTGGGTTTCCCCTCCCGCCTCCCGCCTCCGCAGCCTTGGCTCCTTTACTATGTCTGCGGCCTCTACTTCGCTCCCTTCTGTACCGCTAGGCTTCCGTGTTGTCTTCAGTCTTAGCTCAGAGCTGGTGTATGCAAAATAACCACCATCTTTGTTGGCAGTTAATTTGCATATCGCCCTGATTAGCCAATGGGAAGCGTAGCGGAGGTACAGTTAATTACCCTTTTTGTCTTTTATTAGATAGGACTAGAGGCCCGATGCACGAAATTCGTGCAAGGGTCTCGGTGCCCGCCACCGCGGCCGGAGGCCTCTGCTGCCTCTGCCTCGGCCCCTGCCACTGTGGCTTTTTCCAGAAGGACTTCTGGTCTAATTAGCATATTACACTTTTATTATTATAGACTAGAGGCCCGGTGCACGAAATTCGTGCACGGGGTGGGGGTCCCCTCAGCCCAGCCTGCACCCTCTCCAATCTGGGACCCCTCAGGGGATGTCCGATTGCCATTTTAGGCCCGATCCCAGAGATCGGGCCTAAACTGGCAATCGGACATCCCTCTCACAATCCAGGACCACTGGCTCCTAACCGCTCACCTGCCTGCGTGCCTGATCGCCCCTAATGGCCTCTGCCTGCCTGCCTGATCACCCCTAACTGCCCCCCTGCCGGCCTTATCACCCCAACCGCCTACTACTGGCCTGATCGCCCCACGTAGCCTGCTCTTCGGTCGTTTGGTCACCCCTCACTGCCCTCCCTGCCGGCCTGGTTGTCCCATGCAGCCTGCTGTTCGGTCGTTTGGTCACCCCTCACTGCCCCACTAGCCGGCCTGGTCGCCCCACACAGCCTGGTGTTCGGTTGTTATGTGAGGGTGTCCCGACCAATTTGCATATTGCCCTTTTATTAGTATAGATAGCCAAGATTTGGAAGCAGCTCAAGTGTCCATCAGTAGATGAGTGTATAAAAAAGCCGTGGTACATTTATACAATGGAATACTACTCTACCATAAAAAAGAAGGAAATCTTATCTTTTGTGAGCATGATGGACCTGAGAGCATTATGCTAAGTGAAATAAGCCAGTGAGAGAAAGAAAAGTACCATATTTCACTCATATGTGGAATCTAATAAACAAAATAGAAATAGACTTATAGAGAATAGACTGACATCTGTCAGAAAGGAGGGATGTTGTGGGGCTGGGTGAAAAAGGTAAAGTGATTAAGAAAAAAAAATTAAATGAAACCCCGAACTCATAGACAACAGTATGGTGAATACCAGAGGGAAAGGGGGGTGGGAGTAGGTAAAAAAGGGAGGAATAAATGTCTATGGAAGGAGACGTGACTTGGGGTGGTGAACACACAATATAATGTACAGATCGTGCATTATAGAATTGTACACCTGAAACCTAGATAATTTTATTAACTAATGTCACCCCAATAAATTCAGTTAAAAAATAAAGTTCAGGTACTGAGAGCCATTACTCTCTGTATGGGTGGATGAGTGAAAGATTATATATGAATAAAATAAATAAAAAGGATAATAAGAAAATTTAGGCTAGGAAAAAAAAGGAATCCCACTGGATACTCATAAGTAAATGGAACTGAAGGGACCACATACTTCATTTCTTTTCTCTTTATGATTCAAATCATCTCCTCCTGTTTAGACTATAGCTGGTTGAAACTAATATGAGACCAAAATAGGTTAGATGATTAACACTAATAGAGGCCATAGGGAAATATTAACTATCTCAGCCAGGTTTTCCCATGATGCACAACCTGACCAATTATATAGCTTTGTTTCTGTCCAAAAGCACATCCCCTATCTGTTCATTCCTATTCTGGTCAGAAACACAGAACAAACATTGGTCACTACAAAAAAAAAAAAAAAAAAGGAATAATATGTTCATTGTAAACAAAATTTGGGTGGAAGGGGCATAGCTGGTGTGGCTCAGTTGGTTAAGCTCCAGGAGTTCGAAGTTCAATTCTCAGGTCAGAGCACATGCCCAGGTTGCAGGTTGCAGGCTTAATCCCCAGTAGGTAGCATGCAGGAGGCAACGATCATGTTTTTCTCCCCCTCTCCCTTCCTCTCTCTGAAATCAATAAAAAACATTTTTTAAAAATTGTTGGGGGTGGGAATAGTGACATATGAAGTAACAAAAGTATTATCATTTATTGTTTTATTTGCCATGTTTTTTCTATTTATATGAATAGTGAGTGTATGCACATTTAAACACACTTAATGTTAAAAAATATACCTGAGAATAACCTTTAGTAACATCCTTTAACCATTTCCTTGTTTTTGCATAATAATATTATTCCTAGTTTTGTGCATAAATTAGCGAATCTATTAGATAATTTTGCCTTAACTTTTTTTCTTGATTGATTTTAAAAGACTTAAAATTTGATTAATTAATATTTATATCTTCTTATATTGTTAATGATAGTAGCCTGAGATATTCTTTAAGGTAGGTAGCTTTCTGTTTTACTGACTTATAAGCCTGGAGCTTATAAAATCTGAAACTTTAGTTTATTAGATTTGTTCATTATGATTTTTCAGAAAATGCATAGGTTCTATTTCACATATACATGTTTATATTAACTTGTTATAAATTTTGTATATATTTTTAACCTTTTTCCCTCACAGAGAACTATTTTCTTTCTCTTCCTTTTCACTTCTTTTCTATAATTTCAGTTGAACATTTATTATAAGGGGCATTGTGCAGGAGATACTAGGATAAATTCTCACGAAATTTAAAAATAGGAATGGGGAGTGATAGATGCATAAGTCTCATAGTGTGCACATAGAGGTTTTAAAATTTTATTGACCGGTCCAAATAAAATCTAGATGTTTTAGCTGTTTCCTCTCCTCCTAGGGTCCTGTATTAATAGGAAGTTCTCAAGGTGGTGTCAACATTGAGGATGTTGCTGCAGAGACTCCTGAAGCCATAGTTAAAGAACCTATTGATATTGTAGAAGGCATCAAAAAGGAACAAGCTGTCCGGGTATGTTGCGTTCCAAAAAATTTCTAGCTTTTGATTAGGTAATTATAATACTTGAAGAAAGAGAATTTTGTACAAGTGAAATGATTGACAAAATTTTTTTTTAATGTTTTAAGTGTCAAGGCATGTTAATGTCTTCTTTGAAATGGAAACTTAAAGAAGTATCTACAATATTTTTCTTTATATCCTCCATAAATATTTCAATATGTATCTTTAAAAGATAATTGCCATAACTAGTAGAACTAACAGTAATTCCTTAATATCATTACTTATCCTGTCATTCAAATTCCCTAATTATCTCTCTCTTTTTTTTTTTCCACTTTGAATGGGGATCCATATAAGGTCCTTCATTGGTATTGGTTAATGTTTCATAGGTTCTTATCTAATTTATAGGTTTCTTTTCCCTCACTCTCCATCTTTTTTCTTTCTTTTGTTGAATAAACTAGTCTGGATATTATATCCCTATGGTGGCCTTTAACTGTTCCTCTCTCCCTTTTTCCCCCCTGAAAATTGGAATGGTAGGGGTACTATCTTATATAAACCAAATAAATCAGTGGTTTTACTTTTATGGATGCTTTTAAGAATCTGATGAAAGTTATAGACTTTCTCTGTGTACACACATACATGATAATTCTGTTTACAATTTCACTAGTTTTCTGTACTGTTCTTGTGTGCTTCTTCCACCTGCCTTATGATGATTTTGGGTAAAAATTTTTTAACCATTTATTAATAGCTGCTACTTCAGTGATTAATGTTTGACTTCAGATGATTCGTGCTTATTTAAATAATTAACAAGGTTTTTTATTTATAATAATTTAATGTTGATTGGATATATGTGGCATTCCTGTAATAAAGAGACAAATTGCTTTCAGCTTGCACAGAAGATGGGATTTCCACCTAATGTTGTGGATTCTGCAGCAGAAAACATGGTCAAGCTTTACAACCTTTTTCTGAAATATGATGCAACCATGGTAGAAATAAATCCTATGGTAGAGGATTCAGATGGAGCTGGTAAAGTATCTTCTTTTATCAAACATTGATTACATATTTATCCACCTAGTGTGTGCTTTACTAAGGAAGTTGAAGTCATAAGGAAGTGAACTCATTCCTGTATAGAAGCTTATTTTATAATATTTATTTATTTATCCTCACCTGAGGTTATTTTTTCCATTGATTTCTAGAGAGTGGAAGGGAGAGAGGGAGAGCGAGAAACATTGATGTGAAAGAGACACATCAATTGGTTGCCTCCCACATGAGCCCTTACCAGGGCTGGTGAATCTGCAACTGGGGTACACACCCTTGACTGGGAATCGAACCCATGACCCTTTGGTCTGTGGGCCGATGCCCTAACCAATGAGCCAAACAGGCCAGGGCAGTTTTATAATAAGTAGAATCAATGTAAACAAATATTATAGAGGCCCATTAAATCAAACACCTTAAATATATATTTAGGTACACACAGAGGGCTTAAAACTGCATTGTCCAATATGGTGGCTACCAGTATATTTGGGGATAAAATTAATTAAAATGATATAAAAATTAAAATAATTTCTCAGTCACACTATTCACATTTTAAGTGCTCAGTATAGCCACATTGGTTACCATAATAGCACACATACAGAACATTTCTATCATTTCACAAAGTTCTTTGGGCAGTGCTGTTTGGAGTATACAGTGTAGTAGTAAATAAGTGGTTGTAGCTCTGGGGAATTAACCATCTTAATCTTCACAAATTTTAGACTTTAGAGACATCATAGATCTTTATTTTTAGCTACTAGAGAAGCAAGATTAGCTTGTCACTTTGACGCTCTTCTTTTACATATGTTTAAAAGGCAAATCAGATTCTGAATTATCATGCCTTCCATGTATAGTTGTTTTTGTCACTATTTTATATTGAGTGCTTCTGTTGCTATGATTGATTTGATTTTGTTTTAGGTCTCTTTGGACATTTCCAGTCTTAAGCATTTGTAGGTTATATTTCACCTTTATACTTCTAATTAGCTATATTCTTTATGACAGAAATCAAGTTTTTTGGTTAGTCATTTATATGGTTGTATAAAGAAGAATGAGTAAATTCTCTTATGATAGAGGTGGTTTGTAAAACTAACAGTAATTAAATTTTTAAGGTGAAGGCTGAAGCACATTTTTAAAATGGCATGTTCAGTGAAGGAGAATTACCTGTATAAAACAGATATTTCTTGAATTATTTTCTTCATTATATTAATTAATGATGTTGAAAGCAAGACTCTTGAATTGTTTCTAGTTGTGAAATTCTACAGCCATATTTGGTTGCTAAGGGAATGTCTTTGTTCTCTTAATTTAGTAACTTTTTTTCTTTGTATTAAATTTTTCTTTTCTTCGTATACATTTTTATGTTTCTAAACAGTTTTTTCCCCCTAAAGGCCCTGAATATGTATTATAGAAAATTTTCAAAGTGCTAGGAAATATAGGTTAGAAAAAAAACTCATTACCCAGCACCCTTTTAATATTTTACATAGATTATTATAATCTTTTTTGTAACTGGAATCATAGTCTATTCAAATTATATATTTCTCTCTTTTTTTTTTAAATATATTTTATTGATTTTTTACAGAGAGGAAGGGAGAGAGATAGAGAGTTAGAAACATCGATGAGAGAGAAACATCGATCAGCTGCCTCCTGCACATCTCCTACTGGGGATGTGCCCGCAACCCAGGTACATGCCCTTGACCGGAATCGAACCTGGGACCCTTCAGTCCGCAGGCCGACACTCTATCCACTGAGCCAAACCGGCTTCAGCTATATTTCTCTTTTTAAACTTAAAAGTATATAATAGCCATTTTCTTCATGTAAAATATTTTTCAAAGATAGAGTTTTTAAGGGCCTGTATTATATCCTAGCTAATAAAAGGGTAATATGCAAATTAACTGTCACTCCCTCAGAAAGATGGCAGTGCCTAGTCCTCCCAGTTCCGCCGGAGTCCCCCAGTCCCTGGGGAAAGGGGGGGCGCGGCCGCTGAGAGTGGGCAGTGTGAGCGGCCAGGCGGAATGCTTGCTTTGAGGCCCTGCCCAAGCCATGGCGGAGGCTTAAGCAGAGCTGAGGGGCCCTGCCCAAGCCTTGGTGGAGGCTTGAGCAGGCCCGGAGCAGAGTCAGGGGGGCTCTGCCCAAGCCGCAGCAGAGGCTTCAGCAGGCCCAGAGCGGAGCTGGGGGGCCCCAGCCCAAGCCGTGGCGGAGGCTTGAGCAGGGCTCGGGGGCCCTGCCCAAGCCACAGCGGAGGCTTGAGCAGGGCCAGAGCAGAGCTGGGGGGGCCCTGCTCAAGCCGTGCCAGAGGCTTGAGCAGGCCTGGAAACGGGGGGGTGCCAGCTGTGGCTTGCCAGCAGTCCCGCCTCTGCGTGTGAGCTGCAGAGGAAATACCTTTTCTGACTGCTCATTGGCTAAGCTCCCTGTATGCCACTGGCAGTGTTCTTGGTAACTTGGGTAATAAGAATCCAAGAAGGTGATCTAGGGTTTTTCCACCACACTCCTG